GACACTGTGGCCCTTTGTGAAAGGACAAGACCAAGCAGGACAGTAAAAATTGCTGTATAAAGGTTAATTACTCACATGCCTGCTCATTCTCACTGTTACCATTTCTTTCTCTTTCATCTCCCTGCTTGAATTTGCTGTTCTCTTTGCTCAGTTCTCAGTTTTCCCCTTCACTTGCTGTTTTTTCACCGTGTACAGATCATCTCTCATTACTGATCCACCACTGCTGATTCTTTAGCACCTTCCACTTACTTATTTTGATATTTTTCCTGTGTACTAACACATAAAATGCCTCAATAACCTCTCTGAGTAAGGATGGCTCTGTCTGCTTTTCCATGTAGGTCAGCTCCACTGAGCTGGGTTACAGTTCATGACTTGCCCAAGGTTACACAGGAAATGTGTGGCAGAACTCAGAATGGAAACCAGATTTCGCGCTCTCCTGCCTTAACAACAAGGTTATCCTTTCTCTTTGTGACGCTTTTGGGCAGTTCATATGGATCTCCACATATGTTTCAAATGAGTTAAATTTCCATGAACTTAGTGCTTCGAACAAAAGTGGGTGGATAAATGACAAAGGGCTAAATTATCGGAAAATGGCAAGAGCTGCTTGGAGATTTGCATACCTGGTCACAGCAGTTGTGTGCATAAATAACTAATTGATTACATGCATAATTGTAGGAATGGTGCATGCAATTTTCTGAAAATTTAGACCCAAATTCACAGAAGGGTAACTGGAGAAAAGTTAAAAGTTTAATTTGATTCACATGGCTGGCGAGCATGGGCTTGAGCCACAGAGGATGCTGTAACTGGGCTGAGGTCTGGTGTGGGCAGCTCACAGACCTTGCTGAGCACGTGGTCACCCTGATAAACTACCTTAAAATGTGTTTCAGTTTGCATTTTCCTTCGCTGAACTAAATAGTGATTTGCCTCTCATGCCTTTTAAGAAAACTGGTAGGTTTGTTCACCACTCACTTTTGTGTGATTTTCCCATCTTGTCTTTTTAAAGTAAACAATACTACGAAGTCTGGGGATTTTTAAGGTTCCTCCCATTTGCCAGTGGGAAAACTGAACCCCAAGATGAAAACTGAACCCCAGGATGCAAACTGAACCTCCTGATGATTAGAACTTTATTAAGTGCTAAGAGATGAGATGCTGAGCAGTGGCACAAAGATACATCCTCAATGTGAGCATCCCGTGAAGAGCTCCACACAGAACTCCATATTCTCCTTGCCAAAATAGAAAGCTTTGAAAACTTGCATTTAGAAAATTCCAGTGATTCCTGTCTGAGTGGCAGTTTCACAGGCATCTTGTCCCCCAGCTAGAGAGCAGACAGAGTTTTTGCCAAATACTCAGCTGGTGTAAATCAGGAAATGATGTGTGTGCCCCAAAACATGGTGTTTTACATCCAGGGAGGATCTGGCCTGTAGCTTCCAAGGTGGCAAGAGACCATGTTTTCATTTGCAGTGTGTCTGGGACAGAAAGAAATGTCTTTAAGCCTGAAGGTCTTCAGTGCTAGGTTTGTGTTTTTTTGCTTCATTGACCCCATTCTTCGCTGATTTGATAATGAGAGAAAAGTGTGCTGTTAACAGCTCCAGAGCAACGTGCTGCAAATTTAGGGAAATGAAAAATCTTTAACAAGAATTGAAAGGAAATCATTGATTTATTGCAGGAGCTTCAGCTAACCGTGGATTAATTAAAAAGCAATGCAAAGATGAGCACGGGTCAAGAAATGAGCAAAGATTGAATTTTGCCAGGAGCGGGACTGTGAGCGGACTCAGACACGTGGGTGGAGTGATAACAACACCTGGCCATGTGCAGAGAGGGTGGAAAAAAATCCTGTTGGCAAATGCTGAAATGTTACAAGTGAAATGCAACCAGAAAAGCGTCAGCAGCTGGTCTGGAGATGCTGCTCAGAGGGGAGCAGCCATTCTCTTACATCATCCCCATAGGTGTGTTTTTGTCCTATTTATAGGGCTAAGGTAATTGGGCAGTGCTCCACAGGCAACATATTTTGGGAGTTATAACAGGTATCTCCTGGCACATGGTAGGAAAACAAAATCCAACTCCAGTGATGGGAGCAGCAAGGAAGGGCAGCTCCTGGCAATCCCCAGGCATCCCCAGCACTGCTGAGTGGCAGGGTGTGTTCATGCACACACACAGCTCCCAGTGGGATACACAGGGAGCAAGGAGGTGTGGATCGTGCATTCCCACTCCAGGGAATGAGAATGTTAGCATTTTTGAAAATGTGGGTTCATTGTCATGTTACAGTGACAGTAGTTTCACTTTGTGGACTAAACATAGGCTTTCTTAATTATCCAATCCATCTAGTTTATGAAGTGAAGGACTTTATGAAGGCAGATATTGTGGCTGTGCTGGTGAGGCAGTAATAATTCAGAGCCACAGTTATGAAGTGCTCTTTAGTAGTGGTGGGTTTAGATTTTTGGTTATTGTATGCATTTATTTTTCCTTATGGTTTTGTAATTATTTATATTGGTAACAGGGAGTTTGTGAACACAACTCCATCATTATGTTCATATGAAAGAACAATACTGTTTGCAGAACAATTATTTGAATTTTTTTTTTCCTCTAAGCTACCTTGTCATTCAAACATAAACATGTAGGCTGATTGTAATGGGAAAACAGGGAATTACAATTATTAACTAAGGACAAGGGATTGTATTTTACAGAGGAGAGAGACAGTGTGTTCCAGCTGTTCACCCAGATTTCACCCAGTGTTTGTGCACTGTCATCCTCACTTCTCCAGTAGAAATCTATCATCCTAAGTCCCTCTACAAGCCCAACAAAAAAAAGTAAATCTTGCATTTTCAACCCTTTGAACCCTGTTATCTTATCCCCATGCCAGTTCCCAACAGCTCCTGGTAGCTACTGGAGTGGTACAAACTTTGCAGAGAAATGCCAGGATAAACAACTAGAGGCAAGAGATCAAAATCTCCTAAAAGGTGTAGAAGCACAACTCCTGGTGAAAATCACTGGGATTCAAAACACCATCCCTTAACTGCCATGGAGAGATGCAACTCTGGATCCCCAGAAGAGGGACACTGTCATCAAGGCAGCACATTCCTGGAGGGGAACAGTCCAGTCCTGTGGCTCCTCTGCTTCAAAACTTGCAGAAAGTTCAGGTTTCCCTTTGCCATGTCCTGCTTCAGACATTCTCCTTGGTGTCCTTAAAAATATCTCCCTTTAGCCATTAGTCTTTTGCAATGATGAGGAATTGCAATGACACTTCAAACAGCATCAAACTTCAGTGCTCTTCCTCCCCCATCCACAGTCATGAAGAACCAGAATTAGGGCTCTCAGAGACTGCTTTGGAGAGTATCATAATGGTGGGAATTGAGGGGGAAAATAAATTAAAGGGAAACTTTTTGTGATCAGTTTAACTCTCACTGAACTCGTCTTGAATATTTTCTCCTTGAGTGGAGGATCCCAGCAGTGGAAAAAAGGCACTTTTGGAAGCAGTGGAGGGAAGTTTACACAGATGGTATGAGAGAACTGGCATTGTGCTTGGAGATGTGGTAGGCCAGAGAAAAAGCTGCCCTAAATAGAAGGGACAAGAGGCTGGGTTTAATTTAGAAATGCTATTGGCATTTTTGTTACTGGAATGAAGGGAGTCATGAATCTGCAAAGGAAACAACCCAAACCCTTCACCACAACCATGGAGTGTAGCAAAAGTACAGCAGCTTGGCATTTTCAGGCTTTGATATTTTTTTCTTTTGTCTTGCCAGCTTCTGGAGTGCTCTCTCACCTATTTAGTTGCTTAAAGATAGCTTTTAAAGTACAAAATGTCAGCTTGGGCTGATGCTGTAAAGATTTTCCCAAAATTCCAGCCATTCCTTTGGTTTAGCAACTGTAAAACTCTTGCAACTGTTATCATTTGTGGTGGTCACAAGGAAGTGACATTGTCCAATAAAATCCCCACCACAAATCAAGCTACTCAGCAAGGACATAATTTAGACCTTGGTTTGACAGCTTTTTTTTCTACTTCATACGAATTGACCAAGTTCAGTTGTTTGTTAGATGCATTTGGAGCTGTTTGAGGTTTTATAAAAGTACAAGAGAAAGTGGTCCTCAGTATGCCATCCTTCTCCTTGCTTATGAAAATACACTCTCATAAAACTACTGGAAGGACAGAGAAATATGATTAGTAACTCCTTGATAAAACTGGATTAAGATTTTGTTTTATTTATGTTAGCAGTAATCATTGTGGTTTAGTGGCATTCGAAACAGCTGGAACCTTCTGTTTCAGCTGGTGTTTTGATATGTCATTTTTGCTTGGACTTTGGTCCTGATTTTCTGGTCTATGTGAAACAGGCAAACCATTTATGTATCTCAGTGGAGTGCTTTTAATTTAGGAATTTAGAGAATTATCAAGGGTGGTTATTTTAATCTCTGCCACTCAGTAAGGGCTTGGTCAGAAAGCAGATTTAGAAATATAAATTGGTACGGAAGTCAAATTCAGGTACTTTTCCTGTAAACTAGTACTAAAGCCCAAAAACCTTGTTTGAAGTCTCTGCATTTTGAAGTCCTGCACATGGCCAAAGGCACCTGGAGCTTGATAAAATTCAGTGAGTTGATCATGTGTATGTCCAAGTCCTCCCTTGGTGGAGGAATCCAGCTGGGAAGGGAATTTTCCATGCCAATGCCACTGTCATCTGAGTTTACTGCCCAGGGCTGAGTGAATGCCTGCACATGCAAAACTGAAAAATGTGTAGATGGTGCATCTTGAGCTCCAGTAAGTTGGAGCTGCTGTAGAATAACCAGGGAAAAGTGTTGCTAGGGCTGCAGGGACTTCGGTGGCTGATTGGTTTAACTCTACTGGGTGTTACAAACCCAAGCAGCAGATTAGATGTAAAGTTTATTGTACAGTGGGATAAGTTCCCATACTTTTCACACTCCTCCTTATCTCTGGAAAGCACCTGCCCCCTGGGCAGGGCTTCCAGGGTAATTTGAGTGTGAAAGGAAAACAGCAGAAGCTGTGGCAAGAACTAGCAACTGCCCAAGCTAAACCTCTGTCTTGGCTTCCAGGTTGCAGAGCCCAGAAAACTGCAAATTTCATAACTGAAGGTAAAATTTTTGAGGTTAAAATCTCTGGAGGTTGTTTTGTGGGGCAAAATTTCTTCTGAATCTCCAGAGGATCTGAGAAAGTCTGAAAAGAGAGTTTGGAGAAAAGCAAGTATGACCCTATCTGGTGCTGTGCAGCAAAATGCCGGTCACAGTCTGTGATTTCAAAGCTAAATTATCTGGGAAAATGGGCTCGAGGGGTGCAAGCAGTAGCAGGAGATGCTATGCATGTTATATCATCATAAATATAGAGTTTAATATTAATCATATTTTGTTTTCATTTTTTTTCTGTGTCTCTGTAATATGCTCCTCTCAACACTTTCAGTATAAGGATGGTCAGAGGAAAAAAGAGACTGAAATCTCACCTCTGTTGCTTGTGAAGGATGCAGGATATCCAATAATCCAAATAAATAATAATTTAAATTAAAAATCCAAAATAAAACTAATAAAAATAGCAGCAACAACAACAATAATAATGTTTGGGACATTCAAAAGCAATAAGGTCTTAGACCTACGAGGAAGCAGGTTGGAATTCAAGCATATATAGAGGTTTCCATAGAGGAATACGAGTTGAAACACACAAAAAGCTTTAGGACTAGAAAGAAATATGTCTTTACTTGCTTTATGTGTTATCTGGTTATTACAAAGGATTTACATGAAATTTTAAAAGGCTCAGCCCTGACCAGGCAGAGGCAGAGGTGGCACAAGAGGGAAGCAACCAAAAGGAAGTGCAGATAATGTCTCTCACCGCTGATACCTGCGTCTGTGTAGATAAGTTAATGGACAACACCTGTGGAGATAAGTTCTCCCAAACCAATAGAATTCCTTATTTTCACATCCCGAAAATGGGTTTGCGTCCTTACAGCAGCTCTGGACAATATCAGTGCTCTGCAGGGGAAGTGGATCCCTGCCTTGATGCATTTCAGGGCTGCCTGGGGGGCTCTTCTCTCTCCCATCTTGGACCCTATAGCCCCAGTGTGTGGGTTTGGTTGCTGGAGGTGCCACTTGTCTTTCAGATGCAAACTGGGGAACTGTTGCCCAAGACTTTGTCACCTTGAGACTTGGCTGCAATCCAAGGTAAGGCAGAGCCTGCAGAATGCACTGAGCAGTGCAGATGGAGGAATGGCTACACAACTGTTTTTTCACGTTGGGAGCCTTAGGTCCAGTGGTAATTTATGCCTGTCCAGCCCCAAAGGCAGATAATGAACATGTGTTACATCTGCTGTGTGAATGCCGAGCTGTTAAAGAACAGCAGGCTGTAATAAAACTCTAGGAAAAGCCATATCCTGCTGTCATTTCATAATGGACATGAGGTTTCACCATAGCACAATGTGGGATGTTTGGCAACTTTTGCACAGGACTAGCTTGGAGGGACTTTTTGGATAATGCACTGAACATCTTCAGAAAGTGAAGCTAATGAAAAAATGCTCTAACCAAAGCCCCGTGAGATCCAGATTTTTCCTTCTCAGGGAATGTCCTATGGTTGAGTTTTATTTCCATTCCTAATGAAAGCAATAAAACAATCCAGAAAGCTATTACAAAGCAAAATTATGAATACAGTTATTGTTGGTCAATCAAGTGATTTGTTAGAATAAAAGCAAAATATTTAATTTAGATGTCAACTTGAAATAGTATGGAAAATAGGGGGAAATATTTTGCAATGTAAAATTGAAAATGTCGTTTTGAAGATGCAGTAACATTCAATTTTCAGCAAACCAATTCTTTTGCTTTTCTCTTCAAAAGGAACATTAGTCAAGCTCATCACTGTTAGGCAGATGTTTTGTTTTCTTGAATTGGCAGTTTCTGAGAGTTTAAGTGTAACTGAATTTTATGTAAAATACCAAAAGATATGTTAAAAAGGTGATGTAATCCCAAGGAGTTTAAAGTGTTGCTGAGAACCTATGCTAAATACCAGAAATACCAGAAAGAAGCCTACAGGTAAAGGTTTGATTTTTTTTTTTTCTTGTTCAGAAATATTTGTATGGACGAAATTATAATAAGGACCAGAAAAGGATTAAACAATTGCACTGACTTTTCCCTGGGTCTAGAACTGTTTATCAGATGGTATTTTTTTTACCAAAGTGGAATGAGCCAGAATACTGTGTCACTTTTATTTTCACAGGCTACGTCTAAGAAAAGCCCTAAAATATTTTCTGGTCAACTGAAACAGTATCCTAGAGGAGCAGGCATTTGTTGGTGAGGTAAATACTGTTTTCTGGTCAAGTCCAGCTGCAGCTGTTTGGCTTTTTAGCCATTGATTTGCATGGCAGCCTCGTGTAGCACTGCTCCCTAGCGCTTGGCAGCCAGAGAGAAATCATCCCGATGACACCTGTGGGAAGCTGCTCTTCTTGGGGCGGCAATTAAGCTCCATGGTAGCTTTTGGGAATCAATGGGAATTAAATGCAGATAACAGGCATTAATGGAGCATTTATTGGAAATAATTTAAATGATGTTTAGTGGTGGCTTAGTTAATGGAAATTAACGACTAACTACGGTTTGGGTACAGGCAGAACTGCTGGAATGCGGCGAAAGTCAATACAGGCAGTTCCAAATGGCAGAGATAAGGAAGTGCTTATTGATATTAGTGATCTTCAATATTTCCCATTGGAAAATAAATCTGATTCAGGCTACGTTGCTGTGGACTTCACCCAGAGCATAGGGGAAACAAATTGTTAATTATATTGTAAATGCAAAGTGTCACTAATCTAGTAACTTGCTACGCTGGGTATTGAAATAATTAATGCAGTAGATCATTCTTAATTATAGTCTTGTATTTACAGACAAACTGAAACTGAGGCTGGTATTGATTAAAAGAGGTGCCATATTGCAGACTTTTCTAACCCTGTAACCATATTGTTCTTGAATTTCATACAGTGTAGCTTAGATTTTTACATCTGATTTGAATTACTTGAATGTCTTAAAGATCTGTGTTCCAACCAGATGTGAGAAATGGCTTTGGTTTGGAAAGTTTCAAGGAAGGACCACCAAATAACGAGAGAAAAAACAACTCTCTATTATTTTCCCCCTACACCTCAGTGGAAAATATAAAAAAAATAGTATCTCAATTTATTAATATGACTTGGGATCCTGTCAGGAAAATAGCTTACCTGCAAACTTTCTTTATCTTTCTTTCCAGCCCAAGATTATATACTGGACTTGATAAACTTCTGTAACTGAGAGAATTAAACATTTCTACACATAGTAATACTATTTACTGTGCTTTATGCATGTTCTGTCTTACAGCCAACATTTTAACTAGGCAGAATTTCTCTAGTTAAGCACTGCTGGCTTAACTACAATAATTGGCTGTACTGAGAAAATACACATAGCCCAGTTAACTGTACTAAAGTCACAGGCTTTTTAATCTTGTCATTAAACTTCTAGATATTTTTTAAGCATAGTTATTTAAAAACAAACAAAAACCAAACAAAACTGAATTATTCAATTTAATATGAAGACTTCTCTTTAAAAGGAAGTTTTGTATATAATTTCCTGTGAGGAATTGGATCATGTGCTACTTCTGAACTACATTTTGTTTTGTTGTCTCTACTTGTGGGAAGTACTTTATCTCTCAGAATGGATTTTCTTTTGCAAAGTTATGTGATAAAGATTAGAGACATTCTGGTTTCCAAAATGTTCTGCAACATGTGTGGAAAACCCTCCATTCCCATGAAATTCCCGTTGGTGAACTGGGAATGACTGCTAGAAACTGACCGCAAAAAAAGTGTGAGTAAAGCAAAGTGAAATGATCTAGAAAGGGTAAATAAAGGTTGGAAATTTCTTTGGAAATAATTCCAGAGCTCAGTTGAACATGTCACTGGAAAACTGTAAGAATTACCTGGTTTGTTATACCATATACAAGGTTTAATAATGGCATGAATTTCAAGTTAGTGGTAAAAACAAAGGGACTGTGATAAGCAGGTTACTATTACCTCACAAAGATACCATCCATACCTGAGAGAGCTCCAAGGAGTACAGAGACCACATTTCAAGTACTAAAAATGGCTGAAGAATATAATTTGCATTATTCTTTTTCATTATACCTGGTGATTTGTTCCAGGATTCACAGTCCTGCCCTTGATGTGCCATAAACAGAGCCTTCATTTAAAAGGGATTAAGGCTGGTTATGTGTGATAACCCACCTTAACACAAATGCTGTCTTTTAGAAGATGACAAATTTTGGAACACCTCCCGCCCATTCCATTGCCAGTGGCTACGACACTGCTTTGGGGAACTCCTCCTGCCACCCAGGGAAAACAGAACATCCTATGGAGGAGTCTTCCCAGGCTACAAACCCCTGTCTTACGAAGGCCATCCACAGCAGCATTATTTGGGATTGACAGGTGTGGTGGTGCTTTCTGCATTACTGAAGTTCTTGGGGCAAAGCATCAGTCAAGAGACCCACCCCAAGGGTGATTCAACCACCCTGAATTCCAGAGTCTCATGAAGGCAGAGCTTTGGCTTGTGATTTGGGCAAGGTCCAGCCCAGAACTGTGGGCTGACCCAGCTTCACACTGAGTGTGGCCTCCCTGGCTCAGGTGCTCAGGTCAGGTCAGCTCAGAACTAAAAAGCTGGAACTGCCTGTACATCTGTGGAGTCCCCCAGTGCCTGTACAAACCATAAGGGCAACCAAACGAATTATAGAATTAAACCTTTTTCCTACACACAGCTCTCAACTGAACCAAGTTTCCAGCATCCTGGTCCTGATTGTTGCTCCTCTCCAGCAGGAAATCTGGGGAAAGATGGCCATTTCTCTGCAAATTCCTTCCCACACACCACACACACACACACACACACACACACACACACACACACGGGGTTGTGAAATTGCACCTTTACAGAGGGTTTTGTAACAAGCTGGGTTAAGCCCTGTTGAAAATGCTAGGTTTAACCACTGCCCGCCCTTCTCTTCGTGCTGGAGGAGACAGTTCAGCACATGTTCCTGCCCAAAACAAAGGGATATGTAAGGTTGCCCAAGAATTCCAAAGATCTGGGTGGGGAGCCTTGCAGAGTTTGTTTTGGGCAGGGATGCATGTGGAAAAAAGGCAGAGTAGGCTGAGCAGCAGAGATGGGGCTCGGAACAGGCTGGGAGGAAGGTGGGCAGCCTGCAGGAGCTGTGCTGGGAGGAGCCCGGAGAGAGGGATTTCAGTCCCCGAGGTTTCCTGGGGAACAGCAAAACCTCCTCTTCCATGAGAGAGGAAATGCGAGTTAGCAGTGGTTCAAAAGTGGGCAGCTGTGTATTCAGGCCTGCTCAAAGCTGCATACAATTTTCATTATCTCAAGTAACAAAAAATGGAATAAGCAGACGAGAGTCATCAAGCAATCAAGAGTTTTGCTTGCCTATGTTCCTGGAAAGAATGGGCCAGAATATCTTGTCACTACCTCTAACCATTATAGAATTGTGAAATCCTGGTTATTTTTAGGCCAAAAATGAGACAGTTTAAGAAAGCCCATACAGGTCCATTTTTATATTAATTGAAAGTCACAGTCTGAACAAGATTATTTGAAGATTCCCTGACAATTCAACCTCTGCTATGTAGACTATGAACAGTGAATTTGGTAAATTCTATATACAGCTGGAACTAAGGGTCTGAGACATTCTTTAGTTAATAAATGTAAGTGAAATATTTGAACAATCTGATAAACACTGAGACAGGCCCCAGACTGCTTATTTAAGTCACAGTTGTAACAAGAACTCTGGAAGATTTACCTGTGGTAGGACTGCAGATGTGGTTACTCAGAGATTTTTGGTTGGATTTTCAAACTCATATAACTGTACTTTATTTCTGTATATTTCAGCTGGGGCCAGCATCCTTATCATTGCAGAATCATGGATTTACAGCCCTTTATTCCCTCTAGCATTCACCTTGAAGGCCAGGGAGCCCTTGCTCCTAGACTTGCTGATATAAAGATAATCATCTTTGAAGTGAACTTCCTAGGAACCAAGTCCTCCTCCAGCTGGAGGCAATGGAAATGCTGTTACTGACTTTGGTGGCAGTAAATCTCAGTTCTGTCATTTTTTATGACACCTCTTCTTGCAACAGATACATTTACTGGAGCATTCACTACTAACTGCCTGCATTTTTTTCCCTTATGTTGTAAAATGTGATTTGTAACATATTTCTTGTTTTTTAACAAAAAAAAAATAATAGCAACTTGTGGAAAGGAAGGACTATCTATGTTGAGCAAACCTCTTCAATATTGAACTTGGCTAATTTGTCTTCGCTTTCATTATCCTTCCATTTAAAAGGAGGGTGCTTATGATGAGAGGTTTGGAAAATAGCTTATAGAAAGGGAATTTTATTTTGTTGAGATGCAGAGAGAGGGGATGGAGAAATCCTATCACTTCAGCAAATTGTTTTTCTTTTTCACACTAAGTTACAGCTCAGCCTGAGTTGAAATGACAGATACCAATCCCAAAAATCAAGACTATCAGTGGAACTGCCAACTCAGAACAGTGCTGTTAGTGGCACCACTCTTTTACTGGAATGAAGCCAAATGGGTTTTGCTCTCAAATAAAACATTATGTTATCACTTTGCTAGTCTCACATCATTTATTTGAAAGCAATTGTTTCCCCTGATTTACAGCCATCCACAAGTGTGTGACACAAAACATTAAGGTGCTGTATTTTTATCTTCTCCTGGGTATCAGTCCTCAAGGTGTTGATGCTGATGTGGGATGAGGATGCTCAGCACTTCTCTAAGCCAGGACAGATGGATACAGTGAAGGTGATGACTAAGGGCTGTTATAAATGCACTTTGGGGTTCTGGTGTTGCAATCCAGGGCTGCCCACATGTTGTTTTTGTGGCTCATTTCTTCACAGAGAACCGCTGCTGATTCTGTCATTTGTTAATGTTTCCATGCTGAACTTTCTATACTATTCTTACTTGATAATTCTTGACTGAGGCAGGAGTTCTGCTTTCAGCAGAGCAGGATAAAGCACTGACCTCCACAGCACTGAATGTTTGTCCTATCTCCCTTTCTCATCCACCAAATTCTACTTTGTGGTGTGGCACTCACCAGACACTGGGAATGGAGCTCTCCTCACCTAACGTGGAACGAGATACACTCTGAGCTTGGGCACTTCTGTTCCCTGTGGAGATAAAGGGAAGAAACAGAAACCTGCAGGCTGTGATTCACCTTATCTCTCTCAGACATCTGGGAGAACTGAGAGCCAACAGTGCCTCACACCGTGGTGACCAGATCAGACACTTGTTCACACTGTGGATCTTCTGCTCAGCTG